TCCATAATTCTTAAAACTAAACCCAATAATGGGCCTTTGATGACCATACAACTCGTATCACGTATTACTGGCGCAATTCTCACGGGTCCGAGGCTTGCTAACTTGCCTCATCCTCTCTGGGTTTTAGTTTAGTTTTTTGTCTCAAGACTCGGCAACTTGTGTTCCTTGGTTATATTTATCTTCTGCTAAACTGATAAAACCCTAGACAACTTTAATTTGATTTCAGACATTAATTCTCTCTAGCGTTCTTTACAATATCTTTAACAACTCTCGAATTGTATCTTCGAACCTTCAGTCATGGGAAAGTCAAGGCGCATAATTTCCCTTTTTTTTTAATTAATTAGTTAATTAATGACTGTCTTCTTTTGATTTTATTTATTTATTTTATGTCAGGAAGAAGGTTCAATTTTACAGCAGTAAGTTTTAATTTTTAATTTTGTTTGTTTTTTAATTAATTAATTAACTAATAATTTCTTTTCTTTTTTCTAGCTCTATCCTCTATTATAATTTTTGCATTTGCTTTTTAATACTAAGATTGAAGATACAGTTGTTATTTTGAATTGTTTTGAACGCTCAAAAATCTATTAATAAGGTAGCCAATTATAATTTTTACTTTAATAGCCTCAGAAGAGTATAGTTTTTCCTTAGTTATAATGAGATTTACAGAGATCTAGATTGTTCTTGCACAATTTTCTGATTTCATAGAAATTATACTCAGAAGTCTTCTATATAACCATGGTATCTCTATTACATGGTTTCAGATGGCTTATCAGTGGAATGTTTCAGTTGTTTGAGTTCTGAAGAAGAATCTTCATGTGTTTTATTAGTTGCAATTATGTCCTTCTGATGTTTTTAAATGATGGGGCAGTCTCTGGATCTCTTATTTTCATTGAGTACTCCTACTTCTGATAACCTGGGAGGTTTGATAAATGTTTTTGCAGGTTTTGATTGGGTTTTTGTATTTGAGTATTAAATGAAATGTATATTTATTGTTGGGATCTTATTAGTTTCTGCCTTTATTATATCATGAACTGTGGCTGCTACGCTCATCATAGTTAATTCTCTTGAATTATTAACAGAAAATCTAAAAAGAGATATATTTTAATTTTTTTTTTTACTTCACTGAACCTTCTTGATTATTTTTTTAAAAAATTATCATTTAATATTAAATTAATTAAAATTTTAATTTATTGACTAAGCTTATTATATCTAGAATTTTATAAATTGCATGTTAAGAATATTAACTCGGGTCTATAAGATTTCCACAAGTTTGTTTGATTTTATTTTTTAAATTTATATTTTTTTAATTGAATTATTTAATATTTATATAATTAAATATTGAGCTCTATTTATTTTTTATGGGATCTTTTATTTGTCATTTATTTTTATATTTAATATTTATATTTAATTGATTAAATATAAGCATAAAAAGCTCATTTAATGATATTTTTAAAAAAAAATACGGCATAAACATAGTTTTATTAGCACTGATAATCACCTAGTTAAATAAGGACTTTATTCAAATAAATTTTTTTATTAAATATAATTGGATACATGCCTTGTATTGTTGGATCAAATATTTTAATTTATATTATTTTTTATTTTTTATTTTCTCATTTTATTAATAAAATGCATGCATAAGTTTTTTTATGTTTAATTGTGAATTTTTTTATAACAAAAAAATAAATTGAAAAAGTTTATATGTATTTTTATCTGAAAAATGAGATTATCTGAACTCGGCAAGTCACGAAAACTCGACATATTTCTCCGTTTGTTTAGGGCACACCCATTTAATTAAACAAAGTGTAAATATCGAATCCAATATTCGGCGGGAGTCATTCGTTAATTCTTAATTACGTGTTCGTCAACGTCAATTGGTTTTCGCATGAAGAAAGTACCGCTGAGCTTAAAACAAGTGAGGTTTTTTTTAGCATGGTGTGGTTGTTTCCTATTTTTTTTTTTTATTTAAAAATTATTTTTAATATTAAAATATGAAAAATATATTAATTTAAAGTTAATAAAAATTAAAATACTTTTAAAATATAAAAACAAACAATGAATATTGAAATGCAGTGCTTTATCTTGATCCCTATATAAACTATATAGATTTTAAGTTTTTTGGCATGCAATTTCCAATGTAATGAGAAATACTAATTGGCAAGATCCTCTAGTCGTGACATTCCACAATGGTTAATTTATCTTGGATATTGTTTCTTTGTTGAAAAATAATTTTTTTAAAAAAATATGTTATTTTTTAATGTTTG